TGTGGAGTGTGTAGGGAGGCCTTTTGTTGATGAGTGTGGAGTGTGCAGGGAGGCCTTTTGTTGATGAGTGTGGAGTGTGTAGGGAGGCCTTTTGTTGATGAGTGTGGAGTGTGCAGGGAGGCCTTTTGTTGATGAGTGTGGAGTGTGTAGGGAGGCCTTTTGTTGATGAGTGTGGAGTGTGCAGGGAGGCCTTTTGTTGATGAGTGTGGAGTGTGTAGGGAGGCCTTTTGTTGATGAGTGTGGAGTGTGCAGGGAGGCCTTTTGTTGATGAACTGCTAGACCTGCTAAAGGTTCGTGTGTGGACTATAATGGCGTCCCTGCCACAGTCAATCCGCTAACGAAATTCCTCTCTATTCTATGCTTGCGTTTCAGTGGGACAAATTTCCTTTTTATACTTAATTTCCTCATACTTCCTTTTTATAAATCCTCTTTTTCATTAATATTCCTCCTAATCACATACTTCCTGTCCGTATACATCTTACTTTCCTTATAATTCCTTCCCTTACAACACTTCCTTACCCACAATTCCTAGCTTATTGTTAGTGCACAGTATCCTCTTAAACTTAACGGACCTTCCTGCCAAATGAGATGACATCATTTCTCACCGTCCTAGTCACAGCGAAAACAAGTTTCATTATTTTACTAATTTAATATTGTTTTGATATCCTCTGAAAATGTGCGTAGGTTTTTGTCCCCCAGATTAATTAGATTTAGAAATGTACCCTCACTTTGTTGAGAACCTTCAACGGGTGATGTGCAAAGTCCGTCGGAGTGTTGCCGTCTACGTGAGACCACCTGCTGATGGACGCTGGCAGGAGACTTTTTTTTCAGTTGTATGAAAATAAATCTCTCTTGTTCTTTTGGCTTCCTTGTATGGTACACGTCTCAAAGAAGCAAACGAAAGGGTTCATATCATTGTTAAACCAATACCAAAATATGATGTCTATACATGGGTGGATAGATTTTTCTTTGTGGCGATGTGATTTAGCAATAATACAACCCAATTACAATCTCTTGATCCGCCAGTGAGAGGGAGCGTAGTAATATGAATGTACGTAGTGCCGCAGATACTGCTTTAAATAAATATGTATTGTCACCATCGCCATACTTCCCTGCAGAGTGAAGTGGACTTTGCCCTGAAAGCACAGCAAGGCAACGTGATTACGGCCCTTAATCCAAGCCTCTGAGGTTACGTCAGTCGAACATTGTGCTTAGATCTCAAACAATAGACCTTAGGATATCAAATCTCTGTTGATAAATAACAATGGTTTGACCGTGGAACAGCGATAATGTTGCCTGCCACACGAAATAGGAAATAGCCGGTTGGCTTAGCTGGTTGGTATAGCAGGGCAAGTTGATAGATGGAGTATCTGCTGGAAGTAGCTGGCTGGCGTAACTGGTTGGAGTAGCTGGTTGTAATTGCTGATTAGAGTAGCTGATTCTAGCAATAATTAGCTGATATTGATCAAAACTGTGTAAACTAGCTCTTAATTGAAATTTACACAGAACCGGAAATCAATTATAAATAATTGTCTATATGTGTTTCCGCTTCTCTATTTGGAACTTCATCATGTATTTGCATTTGTATTTTGATGCTTATCAGTGTAGAAATGTTTTTTTTTTTAAGTTTCATTTCTTGCAACGAAACCACAGGCCTACATGTTAGATACTTTGGACGTGCCCCCCGTGTTAGACATTACATTTAAAATTAAAATAAAAAACGAAACACGCTAGTGGTGGGGCTGGTGTTTAAACACGGAGTGGTCGGATTTCTTAAGCTCTTAGCCGCCAAATTAGACAATATTTGGATTTGGATAATTTTAGGAGTCTTTAACGAAACGAAATAAAAGAACAAACAATAATGCAAACGTCAGTTTGAGCTCTGTCTTTAAATCAGCTTTCTCGGTCTCGATAATCGTGATATTGCACACTAGATATAGCCAGCCAAACATTGGCGACGGAAATGCTTGGACTTCCCATTTACTAAAGTTACTTGACAAAACATGAACTTAAGTAGCCCACATTTAAGAATCCTAATTTTCGCTACACCCCTCCCCCCCCCCCCCAAATTATAAGTCACTGCACACTTTTTATTTCAAAAGGTTGGACTTCCCAATTACCAAAGTTACTTGACAAAACATGAACTTAAATAGCCCACCTTTAAGAATCCTAATTTTCCCCACACCCCCCCCCCCCCCCCCCAAATTATAAGTCACTGCACACTTTTTATTTCACGACCATATTTCACTATATTAATATTGTGATGCCCCAAATCTCTTTTAAAGCGAATATTTATTACCCCATATTTAAATTGAGAAGATTTTATTTTCCGAAAAGAAAGAAAACATTACGCACCAAATTCAGTTGCGGTATTTAAAAAAAAAATAATTTAGTGTAGTTATCGGGAATTATGTTTTCCGCGCTGTCCGGAAATGGAGGCAGTCACACCACAAGCAAAATATACATAAGAGATTATATGCTTGCTTAGCTAGGTAGTGACTGGCATATCATTCGCATATATGAATGTTTTTTCTGATATTTCTTTTTGACGAAAATTTTAACGTGCGAACTGAAAAAAAGGGTTCTCTTCCGTTCTATAAAATTACCGTCGATCAATTTACCGTCGATTAAATTTCTTTCGATCAAATTTCCGGTAACCTAATTCCATATGGTGATAGTATGCGCTGAAAAGCTGAATATTATTTTCCCGTTTTAACTCTCTCCTTAACTCTCCTTTATTTATTACCCTTTATACTCTGACTCCTTCATTTATCATGTTTCAAATTAAACCAGTGCTTCCTTCAAGCATCCCCCCCTCCCCAATGTCAGAAAACGCAAGAGGACATAAAAGGGTTGGCGAGTTAACCGAAGTCGAGATAACCGGGTTATATTGTACTGTATCAGTGAAAAATCACTGCCCGCAGGGTCAGTTGTCCCTACGCATATCCTGTCTTTCGCTGTGACATCATTTTGGTTTGGGCTGGGTTGGGCATTTGCCACCCCCCCCCCTCTCCCGTGAATTTTCAAGTTTTATGTATAACCTGGCTATGTACTGTGGCGCCTCCAGTAATAAACAACTTAGTAAGCCGACAAAGTTTTCGTTTTGCCTCACCCCTCCACCCTGAAAAATTAAATCTGAAATTACGCCCCTGGACTTTCGTGGTGTTCTTTCACGTTTTGAGGTCAACTCGTCTAGAATTGTATTAGTTGAAATGGCTTTTTTTTTTTTTTTTTAGAATTCATTTCATTAAAACTAAATTATATATCACAATGTTAAGTCCCTTTTAATATAACTATTAATATTTGAAACAGTATTTATAAAAATGTTTCAGATTTTCTTTTCGTGGGGTTTACCTAAATATTCTTAATGATTAATTTTAAAAAAATAAAATAAAGCAGACGAGAAAACGAAAAGAACTGTAACTCCGTTTCAATCTAAATTTTTATTTATAGGACAATAAGAATTGTTATCAACACAATTATAATAATTTTTTTTTTTTTTTTTTTTTTAAATCTGCCAAAGAAAAAATCCGTACGTTTACTTCATCTTTTTTTGTTGTTGGTTTTTTTGCTGTTGTTGTTGTTGACATTCTTATAAAGCAATGTCATCCCATTTTAACAAGTAAAGGTGCAAGCTTTCTATTTTAACAATGTGATCTCAGGATGTTAGCCATCCTTTTTAACAATGATATCTCAAGATGTTAGCCATCCTTTTTAACAATGATATCTCAAGATGTTAGCCATCCTTTTTAACAATGATATCTCAAGATGTTAGCCATCCNCCCCCCCCCCAGGGGCCCCCCCCAACCCCCCCCCCACAAACCCCCCCCAACCCAAAAACCCCCCCCCCCCCCCCCCCCAAAAAAAAAAAAATAAATAAATAAATAAATAAATACTAATCTAAAGAATCTGGTTTTTTCTCATGTTTTTCAAAGGGAAGATGAAGGAAATATGATGCGACTTTTTTCAAGAAATAAAATTTCCGATAACTGAGCTAAATCAGATTCTTAAAAATATCGCAGGTGCGTTTGGTACGTGATATTCTCTTTGGTTTTCTGAAATAGTTGGTGAAATCAATCTGGGCGTAAACGCTGGCGGGCCATGATAATATTAATATACAATTTAAAAAAATAATATATATATATAAAAATGCATATAAAGGATGTATACAAAACACATTTTTTTAAAGACTTGTATAATTTAGTGTTTAAGATCGTATTTTAAAGACCTTTTAAAATCATTTATATTAACTTAGCTTGTGTTCACGTGTTTGCTAAAGGCAAAATCTTAGGGCGTCTAACTTACCCACTTCCCGTCGTCGTATCGATCTCAAAACTTGGGACATCATTCTGTTGTTTTTTTTTTAATGCTTACCGAACATATGTTTGAAAGTAATCATTTCTTTTCCCACCTGGAACAATCACATGTGTGTGTTTAAATAAGAGAGTTGATGGATTTGAAGTATCCCGCGTGTGTGTTCAACTGAGACAGTTACGTTGACATATGGGCTGCATGACAGTAACCAACCTGTTTCTGCATTCCTCTTGACCATTGCCGGTTGGTTGCTGCTCGAACATGCGAAGTCCACGAGGTCGGCCAGAGCCGAGCCACACACCCCACGGCGATGTGGTCGGTCGTTGATGTTGCAAGCTGAAAATTGACCCTCTGCAGGTTTCACGCCAATGTTCAGCAACAGGGTGAGAAGCACTGTGACCATGAAGGCTTTGGTGAAAACGAGGCGAACGCCGGCCATTTTGGATTTTAGCTTGGAGAGTTCAAACATTTTGAAAAAGAGGTGAATGGAAAACAACAGAACGTCATCGCGGCAGGTAGAGAAGATTCAATTTGTTAATTTTTTTTTTCATCTTTGTGTGTAATGGTTTTTTGCATGTCAATCTCATTATTGTTTCAACTTTTAACAAACTATTTGTATGTGCTATGTTTATGGTAACGATGAGATTTAACCAGAACCAAAATGTTTGAACATAAAGAACATATGAGTCAAACATAGAATCGTAAAATATACTTTCAAAGATATTCATGTTTTTGATTAGCATTTCTGAAAACAACATTTTTAAAATTACAGAAAAAAATAACCCAAAAAATCAACAAAAAAACAAAAAAATATATGCTGTATGCCATGATTTTAAATAAAGTTTACCTAATAAAATATTATCTGATATGTGGTTAGTCCACGTTTTCTATTAACACTGGCAAGTAGTTCAAACTCAGTTGAACAGACTGACCTGGAGATGAAGAATTTCCTGGTTGGTCTGCCACGGCCGTGGGTTGTGTTGAGAGCTGTAAATTGGCTGGATTCTTTTATAGCATTCGTCATTGCTTTAGTTACCCGCTTAGACAAGTCAAGACAATAGAAAAGTCTTTTTTTCTAGACGCTGTTGTAGGATTTCTTTCCGATCTCTTCAAGGTTTAAATTTTTCTTTTTTTTTTTTATTATTATTATTTTTTTTTTTTTTTCCCCTTTATTTCGGTTTCCACAAGTTTTAAATTCCACAGTAACTCAGTCGTGGGCGGAGATATTTAATATGTTTTTACGAACTTTTTCAAAATTATTATAATTTTTTTTTGTTTTTTTTTTGTTTTTTTTTTTTTTTTTTTTTTTTTATTATTATTATTTTTTTTTTTTTTTCCCCATTATTTCGGTTTCCACAAGTTTTAAAGTCCACAGTAACTCAGTCGTGGGCGGAGATATTTAATATGATTTTACGAACTTTTTCAAAATTATTATAAATCGTTAATCAAAACAACTTGTCAGCTGTCAAAAGAAGCTGGAATACAGTACAAGTCTGTGGTAACCGTGCGATGATCTCCCTAGATGACTGCACGGGGAGCATGGGCTTTCAGAATGTTTACGGGAAATTGTGCATATATTAGTACGTACGGCCTTAATTCAATATGTCAGTCTATGTCCAATCTCAATTTTAAAAAATTCTGACTCTCCCAGTGGTTGGCAAACTCATTATTCAAAAGAGCCAAAAATCAGCAGCATTGCGATTTCGAACCATGTTTGAGAGCCAAATTTCTTTTCAAGAACCGGTCAAGAACCACTATTTTTTTCGGAATCAAAACCGATTTGTGGCCGACTGGCCGAGCCGCACTCAGATCGCTGAAGAGCCACTTACGGCTCGCGAGCCGCAATTTGCCGACCACTGGCCCATCCGATTTGTAGATTATTACTTACAGACGTGTTATGATTTAGTTGTAAGAATCGAGACGTAGCTTTATAAGTACCCGAGCAAGCTTTACGGGTCAATATCCCAGTTACCGCCCAACACTAGCACCACTTCAGTGGTGAAACTTGCCTTAAACATTCACAAAAACAGTTTACAAAACCCGTGATTACAATGGAAAGAGAAAACAAGTGGACTAAAGGATGGTCAACTAAAAATTAAAATTGAAATTAAAAAAAACAAACACCACGTTTTATCAAAGCGAAGGAGGTTAAATATCTTATTATAGGGTCACAAGTTCAAGCTGAAATAAAATGGGTTAGGAAAACGCTGATGAGATCCAAGCAGAGTTAAAAAGCTTTCAATCCAAACGCACTCAATTGCTAAAGGAGATTAATTAGACACAAACCATTTGTGTAAATAAAAAAATAAATGTACAGCTTCAATGGTAATTTTACAGAACACAAATGTAGAATTCTTGACAAATGCGTTCATCATAACAAAAAAACAAAAAAAAACAACAAAAAAAAAAAACAAGTAATATTATATAAATATATGAAATTTATAAGAACGTGTAATCTAATATATTTTCATAAATTCTATTTTACTTTTTGAGTGGGACAAACATAATTTGAGGACCCTTTAATCGGTGTTGCGAAAGCCCCACAAGTTGTCCCGTCAAAGTGAGACCAGTGCAGACTTCCAATGACGCCGATTAGAGGGGATAAACAACTCTGAAGTGCGTCATTACTCTTTATAACAGTGAGTATCCATTTTTATACAAGGAAGTATTCATTTTGTAGTTTAGAGAGAGAGAGGGTCTCACACGATTAAAGCCCACTCTATTATTGCTTCCTACCAACACGCCAACCAAGGTAGGGTGGATCAGCCAAATAATCGTTTTAACAAAAATCTCTCCTCATGAGTTATTTCCTTACATGTCTTTTTTTTTAATACGTATTTTTCTCATACTTACTTTTTTATGTTTCCGTTCTTGATACTTCCTTACCATATACTTCCTTTCATATACATCTTACTTTCCTTTAAGTCGGATACAATAAATATGCCTGTATCTTAGAATATGTAATTTTTAATGTGCAACCCAAGAATTCTAATTAGTATTATTATAAACTGAAAATAACTTCAAAACAATAATTTAATAAGTATTTTAAATATTTAATCTGAATGTAAAAGTTAATATAGTGTATAAAATAAGTTCGACAGTTTTTATTACTAATATTGATTTGACATCAAACTTATCCGGGAAACCCAGAAAACCTGTTTCTTGACAGTTTGGCGAGTTCTTTATTGAAACTATGAAAATAACAATGAATTCATTTTCTTTAATTGTACAAATGATTAAAAGCAATATTAAATTTCCATTGGACCTGGATGAACCTCCAGATCTTATAAGAGCTTACTTTAAACACACACAAATCGCAGGCCTTAACGTTTCTTGATTGTAACTATCTGTAACAAAACTGTCAACATTCTTTCATCCTCTTTGTTATTAACTAAAGTTTTTGTCAACACGGCATATTAAATTTAAGCTTCGCATCTTTAACATTCAGTTAGTTGTACTTATTTTTTCACTCCAAACAATTGTGCAATACCGTGACAAGGTTCTTGCGGTCGGTGGTAATTTCATTGGGGTCAGTGGTAAGGTTATTTCGGTCAGGAGAGTTTTCGCCAAAAAAATAATCAATATAAAATGAGTAAAACAGAGTAGGGTTAACCCGGGAAAAAGAATCGCAACAAAAAAACCAACGTGTCTGCAGAAAGCCTTCGTCAGCGAACAAAACAACGGAAAAAATGGTATAAAATTAAAAATAAGAAATAGCACTTAGCTTGGAGGTAGCATCCGTGGGAAACAAAATAAATGTCACATTCTAACTCTTCGGACAGCTAATTTACCCACTTTCTGTCAACCTATCAAGGTTAAACTTGGCACAAATGTCGTTGCCAACGACAGCACATATTATCCAAATTTGAGCCCCGCCTCTCAGTTCCAGCCCCCAAAACTGTGATTGTCAATAATATTTTTTTTAATGGGTACAAACGATTTATACGAAAAACGTTTGTGTGGTTTTTTTTTAGTTGGTCGATTAATGTTATATAAATATTAAATGACTTATTATGACTAAAACGAAGGATCCTAATAAGGAAAGTCATTAAATTATCTCAACAATTTGTTGGCAATTATTGTCCCTACCTGCCCCATTTCATCAACTGTCAAACTTTCAATAACCCCGAATTAATAGTGTTAAACATTCAATAACCCCCTAATTAGTATTGTCAAACTTTCAATAACCCCCTAATTAATATTGTCAAACTTTCAATAACCCCCCTTTAATATTGTCAAACTTTCAATAGCCCCCCTTTAATATTGTCAAACATTCAATAACCCCCAAATTAATATTGTTAAACGTTTAATAACCCCCGAATCAATATTGTCAAACTTTCAATAACCCCTTAATTAATATTGTCAATCATTCAATAACACCCTAAATTAATAGCCCCCCCCCCCCAATTAATATTGTCAAACTTTCAATAACCCCCCAAATTACTATTGTCAAACAGTATTGCTACTGTGGTCATTCTAGTAGTATTTCATTGCGACAATATTGATGAGCCAATTAATAAAACATAAAAATACTTCAGTTCATTGCATTCTGGAATCTTAATCAGTCCATACCTCTGTTATTACGTTCAGAATATTTCATTTATGTTATTTGTAGAGGCGTATCTATGGTTAGTGCTGCTAGGAGACGGCACAGCTTTTAGCCGTCCCCATGGGCGAAGAGAACACTACATAAAGGGGTGGGGGACAGTCATCCGGGCATTGGACCGCCCTCTCCCAGCCCCCCCCCCCACTGCGCCACTGGTTTTTGATATTACTGAGAGAATATTACTATCAGTAATGTTCTTGTTATCTCTGTAGTAATATCTAGGACTAACACTGCTGTAGAGACCGACCGAAAGTGATTTTCTGATTTCGGCCGAAACCGAAACTAGGCCGAAATTTAAAAAATGACTTACGGCCGAAACCAAAATTAAACAGAAAGTTAACTTTTCTGTTTCGACCGAAGCCGAAATTAAACCAAAATTCAACTTTTTGGTTTCGGCCGAAACCGAAGCCGAAGCCAAAAATGAAATATTTAGGTATTTTGAAATTCATCCAAGCATACACTCAACATAATTCCATAAAATGATGGAGTAAAGTATCAATATTTACATTCTTTTTTTTTAATGAGATCATCGTGAATATTAATAAAAAAAATTTAATGAAGACTTTGGCTTTTACTATTTTAATTTAAAAGTAATTAAAATTTATTTGAAAAATCTTTTAAGTAGTATGATAAGAGAAAATTTGGATTTTTTTTTTTTTTTTTTTTTTTTTTGGGTGGTGGGTGTAGATTCATGTAAAATAAACCCTTGTGTGCCCTTTTCTTTTATAATTTAATTACGATCTAGAGTATATACCTATAATAATTATTGTGGTTCTAATAAAGCCAAGTGTCACCTATTTATCAGATATTAAGGCTATAAAAATACCACCACAATGTTTCGCTG